CCTCGAGACCGACGGTTCGCTGCCGTGGAATTGAGAAAGATAATGCCAGGCCTCCGTCGACGCCAGCGACCCCGTACTGCCATAAGCCGCAGGTATTACCGGCTTCCATTCAGAGGGGTCCTGATCTACCTTGGAGTCATGGATGTCTGTGGATATCCCGGTGGCCGGGGTGGTTTTGAGCGGGACCTTGGTGGGAGTCATCGGAGCAACAATCATTCGGAAAGAAACGAGAGGAGAGGTGGGCGGAGACCTCGAGTAGGGTATCGAGCCACTCGATGGGAAGGACGCGGAGAGTGGCTTGTGCGAGTCTTTACGACGACAGCTGCAGATATGTAGTGTGAGCAGAGGGTCATCAAGCAGAGGAAATTGACAGTTTATAAAGGCCACAATGGCCGCTAAGACAAAGGCAGAGATAAGAGATAAGGGGTATGCACACCTTTCACTGCAATAAAGAAGAGAATTATCCGGCACCGTGATCTGTCTCTCGCACATGGCACTGCCAAGTTGATTAGCTCTGATGTCCAAGGTATGCAAGGATGGGCAGCAATGATAAGGCCTGGATGGGCCAATTGGAAGAGATCCAGGCACAGACGTGCTCTCTCATCTCTCTCTATTCCAAAAGAAGATAACGAACGGGCAACAACATACCAGAAATTCAAAAAGCTGGCCGCCATGTCGGCCAGACGGTCGCTTTCGGGCTCCGGACGCCTGACCTGCCCAGAGCCTAGCTTCGAGATGGAATGATTCACAGAAGATGTGCCTTTCCGATGTAGCGTCGGTCGCGAGGTCCTCACTTTTGAGCCATTAGAGGAGGGAGTGCGTCGATGATGAAGATGGGAGTTCGATTGAGTCATGGATGGCGGTGAGGATGTATATACTCGTTCCGAATCTATTCAGATAGAGATAGTCTGCCAATGGTACCTTGCGCCGAGTGGACGCCTCTTCCCAATGGACTAGAGGCCTGGAGCAGGTGTGGAGCACGAGCGTATCCCCTAAGGGGGGAACTAAGTATGAGGGATTTGCGACGATACGCAATTGGATCGATCAATTGTCTCAAGACTGTCGTACCCGGTTGTGTTTATTGCTGCAGCTTTGCGGAGATTTTTGTAATGTCCTTTCCCCTTTCTTCTGCGCCTTTTTTTGTCCCGGTTTTCAGGCAGATGATGTCTGTCAGAGGAATGCTGAGGGAAATACAGGCCTCCGCTCGATAGACAGCTATGTGTAGCGTGACTATCCACGAAATTCCCGGGCCGGTTGAGATAACAACAGCGATAAGCTTTTGCTTGGGATTGCAACGCGTGACTGCAGCGACTCATAAATGGTTAGATAGGTCACAGTTCAGTTGCACCAAGCGGCAGTGAGCAGGTGGGCTGGCCGTTATCACAAGCTTCTGAATGGGGGGAGATAAGGGGAGAATGATGTACAGGATGCAGATATGGCGGTCACAAAGGGCAACAGAATACAAGCATACATACCAGTGAAGATGTTAATGATTTTTTTGATGTAATTCTCGTTTCCTTCTTGATCCTCGAACTTGGGAGCTGGGATTGGTCGACAAAGCACGTGCAATTGAATGACGAGATCTGCTTGATAGTGGGTGGATAATTGGATATCGGCCAGCTGACGATATGGAGTAAAAGGAAATCGCTCGGAGATCAACAACCGGGAATGAAACAGGGATACTGTAAGCCACGGCAAAAGCAAGGGTCGGCGATACTTATGGACGAGTGGATGGATGTACTCTGATAAGAATAGATACGAAAGTCAAGTCGATCGGAAGTCAAGATGGATGAAACGACAGTGATTATGTATGCTGATGGATTGAGAGTACCCTGTAGATAGGTCGTCCGTAGACCCAGAAAAGGTGGTATCCGAGCACGAAGGAGCAGGTATAATTGGGAGCCGGTCTCAGCGCCGAGGGAAATTCTAGAACTTCTGTCAAGCAGTCCCGCTACATGGAGAAAGCATGATGCACGCAATTCGTTAGCCTGTTGGTCCTTTCCAGAAGAGATTTCCACACAATACGTCTTCAGTAATCCGTTTTTTCCTTAGTATCCAATAATAATAACAATTGATGATGGGATCGATGGCTGATGCCTTGTCCTTTGTCAACAGACAAAAGGTGAGTCACGCCATCATCATCAACATTATTATTATGATGGAGCAAAAGGTCTAGAACGGATGCCCAATGCCTGAGGTATCAATTGGAACGCGCAATCCATGAGTGCATTATGAACATTTCAAGCAAGTAGGGTAGTAACGAGGTAGTAATAATAATAGATATCATAATACTATAGTTAGTTAGTTAATAATAATAACGCTTACCTCACCACAGAAGATGATGATCTAACCGTCTCCGTCGGGTGCGGAATTGGGTAGGTTTGGCGGGCAGATATGATGTGCAAATGCTGCAAGATCCGCAGTATCTCGTTCTTTGGTTCTAAGTTGCTAATTTTGGGGGTTCGACCCGTAGTCGATTCTAAGACTCAGTTCAGTGAGAGATCTCAATGCTCTTATATCCATCAGCTTTCCCAATACCCCGCGGCACCGAGCAAGAATCTTCTCTGACTGATGGAGGGGTCAAGATAAGACGAAAACGGTTGATCATTCTTCATTTTATCCTCGTCTAGATAATCTAGTCTAGATCACCAGATAAAGCTACGAACCTTTGAAACTATTGCCTTTTCTCCCCTTCCGATTGTCTGCCAATTTTCTGTTAACCGACAGAGCCACGATTATCGGGATCTGGAATCAAGATAACAATCCAATCCAATCATGCCCCTCACGTTGATGATGTGGGAGTTCATGGGACTGCCAGGTCAACGCCAGATCAGCCCAGCCCTGGCATACTCACTGGCACAGACACTCTGGCAGTGTTCGGGCGTCCATATTCGGCGACACGGTTGTTGACGGTTGACTGCAAAGGGCGAAATCCCGCTCCCCACACGAAGCGGTCGAGGGGTCTAGACAACTCCGTCCGGAAGAGGTTGTATCCATAGATTAAGAGCACGTTGTAGCCCTGGTAGGAAAAATCGGATACTTTACGTACGCGCATAAAGATGGTCCATATCCTGATTTCTACTGCAGACCATTTTGATCGATCGGCGGTTGTGATATCCAATCATTCATGCCATATGGCATCAATCAATGGAGGTGTGGCCGATGTCTGAGCTGATGATCGCGACCTCAGCCCCCGAGACAGCTTGTATGTTTCGAAATTTAGGAGTGATCTTAATGGAATTACCAGACGCCCTGGTGAGCGGTGTGAGGCGAATTTCTGTGCTATTGGTCGATCGAAAGAGAAATACAAAGAGATCACAGAAGTACGGAGTCGCTGAGACTTGCACTAAATGGATAACGGACTAGGCTTAGGTATGGGCGAGATCGACAATCAATAATCTCTGATAACAACACACCCGTATGTAGGAGCAGAGGCCTGAAGAATTCTGTGTGACACACTGACAACATGATACCAATCTTGAAAAACAGACAAAGAGTAGATACATCATTTCTTTCGTCATCCATTACCCCATAGTCGACAAAGTTTTCATTTACTCAGAGTTCTCCATGGTTCTATGACACGTCTTGCTGGTCCCCATACCAACTCACTCGCCTGGTGACCTACTGCAGGCTCCAAGCTCCAAGCTCCAATGATCGACATCCATGCCATTGCGGGAAAATATACAGTTGACTAAGCAAGGTAGACCCGTTTCAAGGCACTACTCGTCAATCTACTAAGGTAGAAGGCGAGACAAAATACTCCCAAGGTCGGCAAGTTCAGTACTACAGATAAATCTCTCATGCACACGACCGACAGCCTCACTATCAAGGTTGAAGGCCTCCTGCGTCGTGCGTCCTTGTTGCAAGCATGCAATGCTGTACGATGAGCACTGGACACAGCCCCATTATTGATTTCTGGTTCTGGGTCCAGATCCCAAGTAAAGTCGAATCCACGACGCAATGTCCTACTGAGTACGGAGTACATAACCCGAGTATTCTTCTGGTGAGACAATGCGGTGGACGTTGTGCAACTCTCCCTGCGCGGTTTTCACCCAAGTACTTAGGAACTACTTCAAGCACAAGACACAGCTACTGCTACCTTCGTAGAAGACGCGAAGAGCGAATAACACGACCACCAAGGTGAAATGAAAGGAATTAATACTGCGGTTATCTGCCCATGACCTCCACAGCTCCAGAGTAAGGTATGGTAGACAACGAGCCAACTTTCCTATTCCAGACACTGAAATCGACATCAAGGTACTCCCATCTCCGTACATTGCTCATGATTATTATCATCCCAGACATGCACGCAGCACACAGAAACCTAGGTCCTCCGCCCCATCTGGAAAAGCCGTACCCATGACCTAAGATGATACAATCTCCTGTCCAAAGTGCAACCCCAGGAGAAAACTTGGCTCTAAGTATTATCTTCCTCTCTTCACATGCGTTTTACCCAATCAACCTATCTCCCTCAATCCTTACGCATTTGCCGAACGGGACAGGGCTCGGGTCCCGTTGCCTTCCGTCGACTAGCCCAAGGACAGGATAAACCAAGGTTTGCTACTACCATGGATTGTCTAGTTAACACGGGGACTAGGGAATGGTGTCATTCTTTTTCCTGGTGAGGATATGAATGGCATAATGATGTGATGTGATGTGATATTCCAATGTGATGCAAGGGGTGATGGACTTGAGCTAACTTCGTGCACGGGTGAGGTAATTCATCTTGAGCATCTCATGTAAAGGTGGTATGGTGTAATTCTGTCGCTGGTGATGGCTTACCGGGGTTGAACTGGTTGATCGGCTTCGAAATCTGTAGAGGATGTACAACAGGCCAATGCATGCATCCTGTATGCAGATATGGACAGCAAAGTCTATCACCTGAAGAGCATTAAAGGTATAGTAAACTCATCTGGGTATCTAATCTACACGACCTATCATACAGAAAAAAAAGGCGCATCCCAGTCAAATGGGCACCGCCCAAGTGGTAGGGTGCCTTATCATGGCTTATCAATGTCCATTGGATCCACGCCTCCCGCTGCCACAGGTGTTGGTGTAGCAGGAGCAGCTGGCGCAGGCGGATTGGAAACACCTCCGGGGGTCTTCATCTCACCCTCTGGTTTCCCAGACGCAGCAGATGCAGGTCCTTCCTCACTGTCTTTGCCATCTTTCTTCTCGCTCTGTTGTGTCTCGCTTGGGGCGTCAGGATTGAGGAATCGCGCTGGCACCCCACGCGCCGCAACACCGACAGGACCAACATAGCAGCCTAGCATGGGGCTCCAGGCAGATTTTTGGGCAACAGTCCGTCGGATTTCTCGATACGCATATGCGTTGGCAAAAGGGAGAGAGGTCTCAGGGTCCCGATACCGTGAAGGAAGAGATGTGATAACACAGAGTGATGAGGAGATTTCTGGAGAATAAGTCAGCTTGGTCACTAGACGGAGGGCTTTGAAAAAGTGCACGTACTGGTCAGCCGCGGAGGCTTTTTGGAATTGAAATAAATGCTAAACTCGCGGCTCTGTGCAGTCTCCTCATCAAAGTTCTCGAGAATCGTCAGACATCGTCCCGTTTGCTCGACCACCGGAGGCGGAGCAGGGATTTGGGGTTGTGGTGCGCCGTCACTCGAGAAGGCAGACTGATCCGCATGTATCTCAGGCGCTACTTGCTCCTGCTCGGTTGATACCGACACTTTTGGTTCCTCTTGCTGACCTGTCTGCGTAGGCTCGGCAACAGGAACTTGGGTAGCTGGCGGAGAAGTAGCAGGAGGAGCCACTTTAGATTCAGGCGAGAATTTCTCGTTCGTGGGCGCTTCAGCATCCGTTGTTTTAGAAGCACCATCCGGCTGGACTCCGGACAGCGGCGCTTCCGGCTTCGACTGGTCGGCATTCAGCGCGGGTCTCTCTTCCGGTACCTGCGCTGCAGCCTGTGTCGGATCCTTCGGTGCTTCGCCCGGCGATTTTGAGTCGGCTGCTGCCGTCTCGATTCCCTGTGGGGCCTCACCAGTAGTTTTACTTTCGACTTCGACTGGTTCTTTAGACGTGGCCTTTTTTATTTCTGGCAGCTCTGAATCAGGAGCCTTCTCTGTGCTTGCCTCACTGGGTGCTGCTGTTGATTCAGCTGGTGGGACGGGATTTGTAGATTCTGTTGTAGCTGCAGAGCCCTCTGGGATTGTTGATTTTTCTGGGGCGGAGGTGGCCTGTGTAGGCTCAGATGCCGTCGCGGCTCTGTCTGTGTCTTGCTCCTGAGGAACGGACATTGTCTCCTCTGTTTTCTGAGGAGCCTTCACAGAATCTTCTTGAGCAGGTGTTCCTTGAGGCGTAGAGGATCCCAGAGAAGCGGTCTGCGAAGTAGCAGGCCCTGCAGGAGCATTTTGAGCAGGCTTCTCTGCTGTACTCTTCTCTTCCTTCTCCGTCTTCTTGCTTTTCTTGCGCGTAGTCTCCTCCTTCTCTGGTTTCGGTGTAATGTCAACTTTGCCCACGCGCGTCAAACGGCCATTGACCCATGTAGCGATGCCGCTCCAGTAAGATATGACGGGTCCCTCCAGACGACGGTTCTGCAGCGCCTCGATCTTTGCTCGTCTCTCCTCGGCCTTCCTTTTCTCCATCTCCTCCCAACGACTCAGACTCTTGCTATTCAACCTCTCCACCCGTTCAGCTTCCGCTAGACGGTCCGCCTGCGTCATCTCCTTCGGTTTCAGATGCGCTTTCCTCTTAGCAGCTTCTTCCATAGTCGCAATGAGCCGGATGCGTTTCTCCTCACTATCCTTCAGTCGCGCATGTGTAAGTTGCTTGTTCTGCATCGTCTGGCGACGCGAGGACGACCGCGTAGGCCCATCTTCAACCGTGGGAAGCCACGAGATACGTTCTGATTTCTTCTTGGGTCGAGGGGCAGGTACTGCGGAGACGGCGGAGGGATCGATCTTGACCTTCTTCCGGGCCAGCTTCAGACGTAGATCTTCGCGTGCTCTGCGTTTCTGTCGGTCGGCCTTGGCTTCCTTTTCGATCTCCTTCTCGCCTTCGAGATCGTCGCCGCGCACGTTCGGGCCTTGATCTTCATCGTCGTCGGAGGATGAGTCCAAAGCCATGTCATCCTCTTCTGCTTCTTCCTCTGCGTTGATTGAAAATTCATTGTCATCGTCTACTTCCTCGAACAGTAGCGCGAGCTCGTCGTCTGCTTCAGCGTTCAGAAGCGCGGATAGATGACGCCCTGCTGTACTTCGTCTCGCACGTCCCTGAATGAGGGATTCCACCACCTCTTCTTCTGCGGATGTTTCCTTGTCGTCTGCCATCTTGTGGAACTGAGGGTTGACTGTGCCAGAAGGGCGGGATGAATTGTCGATTTTGAGGACGTGGCTGCGTCGATGTGCAATATCACGTTCACGTGGAAGTCATTCGCTCTATTGCATTCACAGTCATTAAGAAATGATGATTGGCAAGCGAAAACACCTGCGCAACAAAGTTGTAGTGTACGGAGTAGAAGAGACGGAATGAAGCTCGTATCAGTCAATGACCGAAGCTATCTAGGCGGTAAAGAAAGTTCATCCAAGGCGGTGCGTTGGTGGCGGCCATCTGCCTCAGGCCGTAAGGCATATGCAGATGCCCTCAAATATACAACACTCCTTAGTACTGCAGTCCTTCTCTGGCTACCCACCTCAAGCACCCTGGTTTCTGTCACTTATCTATCAAGATTCCATTTTTCAGTTGGCTATCTAGAATGATCTGTCGTTGTTTGCGGTATGGGAAGCATTAGCCATTTCGCCGGAGTCGACGAGCCACAGCGCTTCTTCGCGGAAGCCGCTTCCCTCCTGCGTCCCGACTCAGGACGCGCATTATCCCATATAATCCGATCTGATATGTCGGGGCTCGCTGAGCGTATGCAGACTCAATGAGGATACCTGGGTGGAGGTGCGGGATGTGGATGAGTTTGTCAGTCAGCTGCACCCGGGGGTTGTTTACAGGCAGTTTCTTATCCACCGCTCTACTGTAAAGGAAGGAGTGAAGTATGACAAGTATAGCTTTCAGGTGGTTGAGAGGGTTGGATTGGAGGGGAGGTGTATTTAGGAAGTAGATATGTTGCTGCAATAGGCACAGGAGGCACGTTTGAATGCGTAGAAGAATTCAAGAGTTCTCATGAGGATTACTTTGTTTCTGAGAAACTGCGGTACTGATACCTATAGGGGAGAAATAACAGAGGGGCAGAATATGACAGGAATTCCTCACAAATAAGACTATTTGGTTAGAGATGCTCTAGAACTAAGAAGCTATTACAGGCTGATCTGAATGAATTGTATTATAGGGGGCAGCAGTTTCATGGACAAATAGAGACCTAATAAGTGCAAGATTGCAAATTCCTTGCTGCCTTAGGAGGCCAACTATAAAGAAGTATGAACCGAGGAAAATTCCCAGCTTAAGCACTGTTATAAGCAGCCTGTATAGTTGGAGGTCCAGAGAGCTCCAACATATTAGGGAGACCAAAATATATCTGGCTCTGTAGTAAGGAATCGCGTCAAGGGTCACGCTCTACTCCTTTATCTCAGCAGATTAACAAACTTCTTGTCAACCGCTGAGGCATAATAACTCCCATGAAGTATGGAGGATGATTGGTCCAAGGACCTGTACTTTTTATTGCCTTATTCCTTCTTGATCCCTCACAGAGTTGAACTATTTGTGGCCGTCAACCAACTGGATGACAGCGTCAGATGCATCACGCATGATGGCTGGAATGCGGGGGCTAGGTCGTTTCAGAAAACATCTAGTTTGAGTTGCCGTTTCAGATGCTGCTCCCTCCAGTTTGGCTGGTTTATGGGCGTAGTGTCTTGGAGAGTACCAGAGTACACCAGTCACCCATGGTTATGAGGCGATAAGGAAGTGCAAGCGGATAATAATCCCATTATTATGGGAACATTCACTATAAGACAAATTGTTACACATAACACATTCTGACGGATTTCAATTAGATGGGACATCGATAGTACGATGTGACCAGCAAATCTACCTGGATGTACTGTGATAGGTAGATCGATGCTGAGCACTTCTAGAAGAGAACAGAATCGAGCCATAGTAGTAGAGCGCGAGAAAACCATACAAAGCGGATGGCCGGATGTTGCGCGATTTCCTAACATACTCCGTACCTAGTGGGTCAGCAGTCCATCGAGGATCTCGAGTTCAGTTCTCTTGATCCAAGTCAGATCAATGGACTGCTTTCGAGTCGGCATTTAAATAAACAAAACCACAGTCATTCAGCTGCATATACCTATCGAAACAATTATAAAATAGTCGCAATGGTAGTAGAATCGTGCTAAAAAGGAGCAATATCTGTCAAGTGTCAACTGGGAATTCCAATCGACATGACATTTCCGGGATCCGGCAACTTAGTTGATACCTCAGGAACCCAGCAAAACCAAACCAAGCAAACTTCCCTTTTCGGTTTCTCGACCCAGGTTCTTCTTCGCTTCCTCAATCCTCTCACTCAACGAGCCCATACGCTAACCTGGCCAAATCCATCAATCCTCTTATCATCTACTACTTGTTTCTCCCCCTTCTCTCCATCTAATTCCTCTTTCTCTCCCGAGTTCATTTCTATATTCTCTTCTTAAATAATCTTTTCCCTCTTAAGGATTTATTCAGTGACCGCTTGTCGCCTGTCATTTCTCTACTCTTCATCCTCTCTTTATTTTGGCGTTGCTCTGCGGAGCCGCGCACCTCGTTTCCAGCCACCTCGTCCCTTTCGGATTCGTTTCAATCATCACTTCTTCTTTATCCCACTCACTCGGCGGTCATAGCTTGAGCGACATTTTTGTTTCCTCACGGTCCTTCCAGGGCGTTCTCTAGAGCGACGCAGCGATAGATCTTTGACAGCCTAATATATCAGCAAACCGTGGCAGCTTGGCCTTCCAAGTCACCCGTCAGTTAGCCGCTGCTATCGTCTACGCATTTTATAGACAACTACATTTAGCCATATTGATATCCATCGCGTATATTGTCTCGTCCTCCGAACCCTCGGCAGCTGTGCGAAACTTGCGAATCCCTCCTGCGACAAAAACACCCCAGATCTGACCCCGCCACGGGCAACGTTCTCCGGACGTTTCCACTCGAGTTAACCTTTGCACTCTGCCGGTCAATTGTCGATCTCGTTACTTCAGCAAGATCAACGACGGCCTTCTAGTCAGTATCTGTACGAGTATCCGACAGTTTACGTTGTGCCCCATGGTTCCTTCGACTCAGATCTTCAACTGAAAATCGCTTTCCGTCATACTCAGCGACTCGGGTACATTTTTTTGCTTACGCATATTATCGGCTTTGCATCTTGGAAAAAGCAGTTCGCCTTTTTAAGGTAGAGGGTTATAATATATAATGCTACCCGTCTCTCGACCGGAGGGTCACATGAACCTCAATTATATCCCAACGACCCAACCGATGTCTGGGACTTCTACGGGGCGCAGTTCCCCTAGCGACTTGTCCGCATCTGCCGCTGTCAAATCAGCATTTGGACCGGCAAATGGTCTTGGAAACGCAGGGGGATCAATTGGAGGCGCAAGGCTAGGGGCTGGATCCCCTTCTCACGAGCTTGGCGCTCGCTTATACTCGAAGCGGTAAGTTGCAAAAATTCGGGACCTCATGCTTGCGACTTTGTTCTCTGTATTGATCATTCTTCTTTTCTATACTTAGTGCGCGAGAAATCCAAGCGGAAGAAGGCGTTTCGCCGAGTATCTGGGGCCCCCCTACTAGTGGCCACTCGACCCCGTTGCGCGAAAATATTCCCGAGTCTCCTAGCCAGGAAGGGTTTCCTGACTTGATACCTACGACTACCGGATCTATTAGTGGTCCCGCCAGACGAGCCAGGGCTGGCACAGTTCCTTCGCGTTTTTCGCCTGTTGGTGTTTTGAACGAGGCGAACCTTCAACAGACCTTCATATCTCAAACCTCTCGGCCTACACCATCCACGAGCCCCTTCCGTCCTCCCGGCGTTTCTGGCATCGACACAGGCGCAAGGGCAGCAACTACTGCCGGTCCAAGCAACGCGGGCACCCTCTCGCGTCTTCGAGCTGGTTCAATGCCACAGAGGACAAATTACCTTGCATCATCCAGCCCTTTCGGGCCTTCTTTGTTTTCCACGAACTGGTCGAGTGCGCGTGATCGAGCGACGACTCTGACGAGTATCCGGTCTTCGGAGGGGCCTGCATCACCCAGCCAATCCTCATTTTCGAGAGACGGTCTTGCGGATACCGATGTAAAGACTTTGGACTACTTGGGACTCGCGGAGACCCCACAACAAGCACGGGCCAACCTTGTACGACCATCTGTCGATGTTCTCTTGCAGCAACAAGAGCAGCAACAGGCATCTGCGTTGCCGCCACTGCTAGCTGAACTAGCGATGATGAAAAATAATAACCGATTCCGGTCTTATTCTGTCAATGCCAAGGAGAAATACGCAGACGATGAGGATCTTGAGTATGCCACTCGCTATTCTCAAATTCCTTCTGGCACCGTCACCCCTTCTGCCGCAGCGACAGCCGTTCAACTGGCTGCGACGCAGGCCCAGATCCATCAACATAATCTTGCCGTGCAAGCATTCGCTAACCATGCTTCGGTCAACCGACCGAGAGCAAGAACGGCCGGTGTGTTAGAGGCTCCTCCACAGAGATCTTCAATTCGCAACTATCTTGCCACTCCGTCTCGCCTCGAAAACAGCTTCAGTGCTGCGGATCTTCATATCGCCGAAACCGGTGAATACGACGAGCTATCCGAAGCTGTGCAGATGATGAACCTCGGAGGTAATGGTGGCCAAAACCTGGGTCTTCGCGCGAGCGGAGAGGCTGCTGACGAAAGCAACCAAGATGGGCCCACGCGAGCCTTATGGATTGGCAGTATTCCAGTCTCCACGACTGTCACCTCGCTCGAGGCGATCTTTGGCATGTATGGCAAGATTGAGTCTACCCGTGTTTTGACGCACAAGAACTGCGGCTTTGTCAACTTTGAGCGCCTGGAAAGTGCCGTGCAAGCCAAATCGTTGCTTAATGGCAAAGAGATCTTCCCAGGGGCAGGCCCCGTTCGGATCGGCTATGCCAAAGTCCCTGGCAGCTCTGCATCTGGCACCCCTGGGCCTAACGGCGTGCAGTCTTCCCCCACTCCTGACCCCAGTTTCAAGTCTGGTGTTTCCGAAGGCCAGGACAAGTCTGGCGCTGTGGGCACGTCGGCGCCCCAAATTCCTGCCCTACCCGACCTTCAACCGGAAATGATCCAGATTGTCAAGGAATTTGGCGCTACCGATGATGATACACTCAATATC